ATATGATAATATTTTGCTATATTTTGGGCAGTTTTTTTATGTGGAATTTTGTATATATATTCCTAATTGTGTGTTTTTTTATTGTGTAATAGGTTTCATTGAGTTGGCAAATTTTGGAGCATATTTTGAAGAAAATGAGCCGAACGCATAAAGCTCTTAGGCATGATCACGCAAGTACAATGTGGAACATATTAAAATTTACAAAAACTCTGTAGTAAATTGGAAATGAAAAGATTATGTGAGGATCTAAGTGCAAAGGGGATCTAGTTAAAAATAGGGCATGGGATGGAGAATTAAGAGACACGATTTGAAATTGAAGAGGGGGAGATAAAGGGATTACCACGATCTACCACGACACCATATTTCTTGAAGGGGAGAAAGGGAGAGAAAGAAGAACACGGCAGAGAGCAGAGAACTTGAAGAAGGATTGTAGACGACTTTCGGGGCATTCTTCTTATATTCTAGTATTGTTCTTCTTTATCTATTTCTAAAGAATTGAAGGCACGATTTGCAATTGAAGAGGGGAAGAAAAAGGGACTATCACGTTCTACCATGACACCATATTTCTTGAAGGGGGGGAAGAAAGAGAAGAAAGAACATGGCAGAGAGCAGAGAATTTGGAGAATGATTGCAGACGACTTTTCGAGGCATTCTTCTTCTATTCTAGTATTGTTCTTCTTTATCTATTTCTAAAGAATTGAGACATGATGAAATTTTTCAATTTTTTGTGTTTTCAATTTCTATGAATTCCGAGTAATTTAATTTCTAGCGTAGGTGTGAATTGATGTTTCGGATTGAATTTGTGGGACTTGGTTTTGTTTAATTTGGTGTTCATCAATATTGGGTATTTCTTTTTCTTCTAATTTATAAGTTTAGAAATCGTAAATTGATTATTGCGCACGTATTGATTTGAGATTTCGTAGCTAAATTTGAGATTGGCACCCATAATTGTGTAATTTTTCAATTGGTGTAGCAACTTAGAGGAATACTCTTGGGAAGAATTAGAATAAATTTTAAATAAATCCAAGTAGGAATTTTTTTTAATTTAATTGGGCCTTTCTAGTACTTAGAGCTGTCGAGTCAATAAAACTAGCGTCGTACCTAGGATTCTCACTCGATTAGGGAAATAGCTAATGGTCGTACCTTAGCTATCGAAAAAGTAAGAAAATGTTGGTTGTGAACACGTGTAGATCAACTATAACCAATTTATCCAACTAATCAATAAACATGATTTTTAGTCGATGAACAAATTTTATATCCCGAACATACAAATTCATGCATATGCTAGAGTTTAATTATATTTGGTAAATCGTCTTGCATTTTTATTTTATTTTATTTTATTGAGTGAATTTATTTTTCTAAAAATTAGTGTGATAAATCAAACCCCCCCCCCATTATATATATATAGTATAATTATAAATCACCGAATAGTCAATATTGTTACTGTTTTCTGCGGAGACGACCCTACTCACCGAACTACTGCATTTTGCAATTTTTTTGTGGCGTAGGAACTAATACTTTATTTTCCAGTTGTACGATACGCGTGCAGAAATGCGACCTTGTTTGGAAAGCAATTTTTCCCCAAGCACTGAAGGATCGAGATTGGAGAAAATGGTCGGCTAATTGGGAAGGTTCCTTTGTCGCTGCAGCTAAATCATCTCGAGGAGCATATAGGCTATTAATGGCAAATAATCAAAAAGATTTTATCCATCAATATGGGACGATGAATGGATAACGTCACCACCCATGGAGTTAAATGATGATGACGACAAATAATCAAATATTTTACAAAAGTATCGATCGGATAAAATATTTATAGAAGAGATATCAATCATTTTATAAAATTGACACTTTTGTAGGGGAAATTTTGTTATCCCAAAAAATATATATTATTTGGGTTTAATGAAAGAGAAGACAACCCAATTGTTCAACCTAAGCGAAGCCCAAACCCAAGTCACAACCCAAATAGAATAATATCTAAGTAGAATTTAGATAATGATAAGATATTGATAAGATAAAATCTTACTTAGTTAGACAACACATACATCATTATTTTACTCTCAAATTTAAAACAATTGAACCTTACCCATTACTCTTCCTCTCTACACCATTTTTTTCTTTCTTTCTTTTCTCATTTTGCTTGCTTTTGTTTTTCTTTTGCTTCCTTTAATTTCTTGCTATCTTTTTCTTTTATTTTCTTATTTTCTTCTCTTTTTATCTTGGTTTCATTCTTCTCTCTTTTTTTATTTATTACTTTTGGGAACACAATTTCAGATCCTTTTTCAAGAAAGCCGGAGGACTCACCCGATTTTCGACAGGCTTGACCCATCAAGCCGCCAAAAAAATATTTTGAGCGAAAATGTGAATAAAGTACTTAGGTATTAACACTAAATTTATGAGTATATATATATATTTCAAAGGTATTCTTTGTAAAGTATCAGGCATCTTTGAATTTAGTTAAGTTCTTACAATAACATAGAATTCTCTAAATGAGTTCCTACGGTTTGGATTATTATATTATGGATCAAATTTTTTTTTTAAAAGTGTTTATCCTATTATGTATGTGAAAAACATTCAAAGTTCTAATAGAATATTACAACTCACTCTTTCAAGTAAGTAATACCTTTGTCTTATGTTATTTCATAAAAAAGAATTTTAATTGCATCTAACTGTTAAATAATCTCGTAGTAGCAGGAGTGTATCCTAGTAATGGAAAATAAATTAATTAACTTATTTATGATTTCGTTTACCATCCAAAAGGAGATCTTAAACATTTATTGTATATGTATGATGGTGTTTTCCCGATTGGATTATTGTAAACATGTACTCTTCACATTTTAATACTCTCCAAGAATTGGTGATAATACTATCACATTGGAAAACCACTAACGAGGGGGTATATGATACCAAAGATGATCGATTTCTCAAATAGGGGTTTTTCCATGCATAATTATGTGTACACAGAGTATTTGATATTATACTATAGGTGCATAACTAGAAAATCATGACATAAGTATAGTGCATGTATGTACGTGAATGTGTGTACCAAGTATAAATACGGACAATAGAGGTATATATATTGATATCTAAGGTATTAATTGTAAAGTATGAGGTATTCATAAATGTAATTGATTTCTTACAACGTTAGTCAATCCTCTAAAAGATGAGGCATAAGAGAACTAAGTGAGAGCACGACCTACGTTGTCTTCTATTATCATGCACTACCAAAAAAATGGTCTTTCACCACGGCTCGACGGTTCATTACAATAACATCGTAACAAATAATGGTTATTGTTACGACAAGTTCCGTGACCAAAAAAATATTTTTTTGGTCAATGTTTCAGGTTCTTTAATTACACAAAATAAGCCGTAACAAAAACGGAGTTGATAGAATTTTTTCAAAATAACATTAGTTACGATTGCGCTTCGTAACAAATGGCGTATAAATTTATTTTTAAAATTTAAAAGATATTTTGGATTTTAAAAAGGTTAAAAACGCTATAGCGCTTTTGGAAAACTAAGAACGATTTCAGGGCGCGGGCTTTCTTCTTCCCCTCCTCGGTGCCGAATACATTCCACACTTAGCGAATTTGAGAAAGTTAGAGCACAACTCATTCTTCGACGCGATTTGAAGGAGCTTATGCGACTACTGAGCGAAGGTGGGATCGAGGAGGTTAATCTGCACCGGCGTCCAGGTAATGTTTTTAAGTTATCAATAGTAGTATGAGGATCGATCCACGGTTCTTCTTTGCGTCCTTTGTAAGGAGAAATCGAAATAGGGCGTCGTAATATTCTTCTTCTTTCTCAGGTGGTATTGGGAATTGTATGGCTTATGTGTGATAAACAGAACTTGATTAGTTGGTAGGATAACATATTCTTGTGTTAGAGAACGAGTAGGCAGATTGTTTAAGTGCCCTGTGAAGTTTGATTTATTAAATGGTGTAATTTTATCACATGATTATTTTGGTTCTGGAATTTTGGTTTTGGTCTGCTGGTTTGAAAGGGAAGAATCTCAACCTGCACATGTTCGACTCTACCCTGGGATCAGTATGGGTTGAGATGTTTGTGTTTCTGGCTTGTTGTTTAAGATGGGTGATGAGCCTCCTGCTCGTCACTCCTTCGTTGGAGTCATTGCCAACCATCCTCCGAACCCTCTGGACAAACAACATCCCCTTTCAACCAATTCTTTTCTTTTCCATTCCCTACCCGAAAACCATTGGTTCTACTACTAAACACAACAATGGCCTTGCGTTGGAATTTTCAAATGAAGAGACTGCTCTTCTGGCAATTGATTTCAAGTTCTCATTGGTTGGAAAATTCACTCAAGGATATTCCTCATGGAAAGCATTTTTGGGATACGTTCAATGATCTCAAGTTGAATGGGGAATTCAAGTTATTACAAATCAATTTTAAACATATTTTGATTTGTCTTGCCTGTGAGGAGGATTACACTCGGATTTGGACTCGAGAAATTTGGTTCAGCAAAGGCTTCCCTATGAGAGTTTTGAAATGGAATCCTTCTTTTAAACCTGGAATCGAATCTCCAGCAGTACCATTTTGGGTTCAGTTCCCGGTGCTTCTTGCCCAATTATGCCAGAGGGGTGCTCTTTTTTCCATTGCCTCACTGATTGGTACCCCTCTGAAAGTGGATATGCCAACAACTCCAAAGGCTAGAATTTCAGCTGCCCAAGGCTGTATTGAAATTGATGTGTCTCGCCCTATGATCGAAAAAATCTATTTGCTCATTAATGGAGTTGAATTGGAACAACAAGTGGAAAATGAGAAAGTGCCGAAATATTGTCTCTTGTAAGCATCTGGGACATGATTTGGAAGGATGTCTTGCTTCATCGACTAATTTTGTCTCGAATCCAAGTAATAAGGAGAATTTTGGGCATAAACAAAAGGATCTAAGAAGCTTCTTGCAATGAAAAAAAGAAGATCAGATTCCAAGAGATAAATCCTAACATAAGGAAGGTTTCACTGAGGAGGACCTTACTTGAATGGATAAGGTGAACCCTACTTGGGTTCAGGACAATGTTGATAGTAATGAAGACTCAAACTGCTCCAAAGGTTTTAAACAGCGGGATCTTCGGCACCTCTTAAATACAAAAAAGAAAGGGAAAAGAATAGAAGTTGATCTGAAGGCAACAGAAAAGAATAGAAGTTGATCTGGAACTCACGGCCTTATCAAGTTCCAACAGAAACTTATCAGCTTGAACCAGCATCTAAAATGGTGGAATAAGAACATTTTTGCCATTGTTTTCCACTTGTTGATCAAGGCTAAACATGATGTTCTCAACAGTGAAAGAACTTTTGAGCAGCAACAATCAGAGGCCAATCTCATTGAGCTTGGCAGATGCAATGCTATGTTTACTCGTGCTCTAGCATTCAAAGAAGAGTTTTGTAAGCAAAAAGATAGATGATGGATTGTTGAAGGAGAAAGGAATACTAAGTTCTTCCATGCATTAGTTAAAAGAAGAAGACAGCGAACCCTTATCCACCTCATTACAGAAGGCTCCCGGCACATTACTTCTCAGGAAGAAAACAAAACCTCCACAGTAAAATATTTTCAGATGCTCTTAACAGATGAAAAGGTTTGTTGGGGACACGCTCCACCTGATCTTTACCAGCATGAAGCTTCCTCTGATGATAATGACATGATCTACAGTACTCCGGATCTTCAGGAAATCAAAAGTGCAGTTTTTGCAATTAACAAGGGTAGTGTTGCTGGAGCTGTAGGCTTTACTAGTCTCTTCTATCAACATTGTTGGGACATTATCCACGAAGATCTTATTGCTGCGATCCAAGAATTCTTCACTGGATCTCCCATCTCGAGAAGTTTTACTGCCTCCACCCTCATCCCTTTGCCTAAAGTGGATGACCCTGTTTACTGGAACAACTTCAGGCCGATAAGCTTGTGCAACGTGGTTAACAAGATCAAATACAAAATCTTGTGTACAAGGCTAGCCTCCATCATTCCTCCCATGATATCCAAGACTCAGAGAGGATTTATCAAAGGGCAGAGTATTGCGGATAATATCTTACTTGCGACTGAAATGGTTCATGATCTCAATAGCCGCCAAAAAGCACATAGCCTCATCATGAAACTTGACATGGAAAAAGCTTATGACAGAGTTAATTGAAGTTTCCTACGCGATGTGCTTTCCAAGTTGGGGTTTAGGGATTCATCCATCAACTGCATCCGTGCTTGTGTGGATAATTGTTGGTTCTCTATACTTATTAATGGCACTGTCTGTGGGTTCTTTAAATCCTCCCAATGCCTCAGACAATGAGATCCCATCTCCCTTATTTTATTCAATCTGGAGTTGCATAAACAACAGTAGAGTTTTGTTGAAACCTGTAGAATATTCATAAGTAGGTGCTATTTGCATACTTGCTATCTTTGCTTACTATGTGAACAATTGACTTATAAGAAATTTGATAGCACCAATTTGATCTCTTAAATTGTCATATCTTGCATCACTGCTAGTTACTGATTCCATGAAATCTTCTATGGAGTCCTAAAACTGGTATATATGGTTCTAATTCAGTCCGAAAAGAGAGAATGCAGAATGTGAATTAGTGCATATTTAATTAATGTAGTACTTTGCGCCATTTCATTGAAAATTAGTGCATCTTTAACTTCTGTTTTTTTATAGGAAGTGACCGTGTGTCAACGCAGGCGTGCTGTGCTCATCCAGGATACCCAGCCTTGAGTTTACCGAAAGGTCTGCTTTCTTTTTGACGCTATGCCACTGTGCAGAAACTTTTCTGTGATGTTTGTTTATTGGGTGGGTGGTGCCATGAAGTGTTAAGTGCATTCCCATTAATCTGAAACATTTTTTCCCATCAGATTTCAGAATTATTTCATATTTGTTTTAAAGGATTTCTACATGGGGCGTAACCAACATAGAAAGGACCCATGATCCTTGTCGGCAAGATTGAAAATCATCATCACCATGAATTCTATCCTACATATGATCATCGATCTGCACCAGCTGAATAACATATTCAATTTCATCATTTCAAAACACATCTATGCATTGACAATTAACTCAAATTGCATGCTTAATGACTTTGCATCAGCTTTGCCTTTCACAATTACAATGGTAAAACATATGCTTGCCACTTCTTATATTTGTGTGGACATAAGGCAAGAACTGCATGTAATCTCTTATTTGTTCGTAATTAAGTAATTATTTTCTTAATTATATTAAATTTGACGTAATAGCATTACATATCCTTCATCTCTAGCATCGACATTGTTGTACTTTATTCTTAGTTTCACTGTAATAAAGTTAGAATAGTGAGAAATTTGCCTTGTATCTACAAATGGCTGATCAGAAATTGTGATGGGGAGTCGAAATCCATTTATTACTATTTAGGGGGCATCCATATAAGGGTTTGAAGTGGGGAGGACTGCTTATTTAAACCATGTGGCTTAATGTTATGATAAAGTATAATGCTAGTATCATATATAGCATCCGTGTTTCCTATTATATTGGTGAAGGTTATTTTATGTTTATATGTAGAGAACATGGACTTCTAGAGACGTAAATGCATTTTATGCAAACCGATGAGATAACTTTATTCTTTTAAATTTGGGGTGTACGTCCGTGATAGGACTTAAACATTAGGTTTTTGGTTGCATGTTACGTTAATACAATCGCATGTATTACCTTGTTAGATGGATAGGAGTTGGATAGATGATGCGAACCATATCTCGGCTCAATATTTGGATGGGGTCAGGGCTTTCTTAGATTTTGTATTCAAAGATCGTAGCTCTAAATCTTGCATCTATTGCCCCTGTACATCATGCGGAAATCGCTTAACGAAATCTCGTAGAGATATCTTGCTCCATTGTATTCGTTATGGTTTCGACCAAACCTACAAGATTTGGACTTGCCACGGAGAAGAAGAGGTGAACCCTACTGCTTCAAACGATAACGAGCCAATGCGTTGGGAGGATGAACTAGAACTTCTATTGCGAGAGTGTGCATATACAGAGCACACCGATGATGTTCCAAGCGGAGCAGACATACGTGCATTGGCCCGTGGACCATTATGCAGTGCAACACAGTACTCGTCGTGCATTGTGTCAGGAGTACGATATCGTGTTCAAGGTCGGGATGCAGGGAAGAGGACACAATATGCAAGTGTTATGGTTACGGCAGATACAATGAGTTATGCCTCAGCTAGGGACCATAACCCAAGAGAAGGTTCTGTGGCATATTACGGGATTCTTACAGACATTGTGGACGTGTACTATAGCAATCAAAAGAAGTACCTCCTTTTAAAATGTGACTGGGTGGATCTGGAGAGAGGTGTTAAAGAGGATGAGTTCAAATATAAGCTTGTGAACTTCAAGTATTTGATGTACCCGAAGAACTTGCCCACGGATGAGCCCTTCATCTTGGCGACCCAAGCCAATCAAGTTTGGTACATTACAGACCCGGTTGATGAAGGCTGGAGCGTTGTTGTTCCGGTATCTCGGCGAGACACGTATGACGTGTATAGTACGATCGATCATAGATTCAGTAACAGGTTAGCTTTAGATAACGGAGGCAATGTAAGAGGAGCAGCCGACTACAGGCTAAGGGAAGATGTCGAGGGGCAGGTAGTAGAAGGAACAACACAGGTAGACCATGCCGAGGCTTTAGCTCAGGATTCGGAGGAATCCTCCGAAGATGATGGTGCTTAGGGCAGAATGAGGAAAGCGGGCATTTTTTATAGTATATTAATATAGCTTAATAAACGCCCCGATTTTGATGGTTTGGAAACCACACAACCTTTTGGAGTTCACAGTTCAGAATAAATTACACATCTCAACGAATGGTCATTTTTGTTAAGGGCGTCGACAATTGAAGTACGTAATAGGTAACCTTTTTCTGATACGCATGTCGTTTCACAAGCTCTATTTTCGATTTCCGTATGCTGAATCACTTTACATGCATTAATTGCGGTATTTATGTTGTGACTTCTTCCTAATATGGTGTTCCATACAGATTCCTGACGCTTGTGCCTTGCAGGTTATGGGAAAATCTCAACGTGGTGTTGTAGGAGGGTCACAGGATCCGACTGCCTCTCCCGTAAGACGGTTTACCCGGGCATCTACATGCAACAGCCCCGTAGAGGCAACTAATCCGGCTAGTAGAAATCCATCACCTATCCGCAAAACCACGAAGAAAGCAACGAAACAGAAGGGATCTCAGGTCTCACCATTGCTCCAGCGACTTCGGTCCATCACATCAGAGTGGGAGAAAGAGCGTGATGCTCGTACTCAAAGCAACAAAACAACATCTTCCACTCGACGGGCAGTTCTTCAGGATTCGGAGGGGATTTTGGAGGTAATGTGGCTTCTTGAAGCTGGTCCCTATTTGAACTATTAGTACAACACTGCTATAGGCTGACGCTATTAACCCCAACAGGAACATGATGAGAGGGATATCCCATCAGTTCTTGAACAGACGGCACCGACACAGGACGAGGATGATACAATCCCCCCCACAGAAGCAGATGACGAGACACTTCCACCGACACATTACATGGAGACTGCAGAGAGTGATATGCCATTATTGGGTGAAGAACCAGGTTCCGACCCGGCTATGATGACAGGAACGGAGGTGGGCGATATGGCACGATTGGACGAGATAACATCGGATGGCAGTTTGGAAATTATCCTTCTAAGATTATGTCTTGCATTTATTTTGATTTCAATTTTTCTACAAACGCGCATCTACAATAACATGTATTCTCTTATTTGTACCAGCTGGTTCGTCCAAGAAAAAACAGGGGAGAAGGGCGGCAGGAATGCCACGTGGATGGGGAAAAGATCACAGGATGCTTGTATTCACATCGCCTGATGATAAAAGCATTGTTGGACCCGACCTAAATGAGTACCATACATCTATCAGGGTCATTGCACGCAACGGAGCTCGACTTCCTCTAAATTACCCCACATTTGCTGAAATACCGGAGACGAAGAGACAGGGTGCATGGATGGAGGTTCAGGTGATGCAATGTTCATATAAAATGAAATTTCTTTAATTTCAATATAGTTGTATACGTGGTCCTACTATCTTGTTTGTACCGGGCGATAACCATGTCAAATGTCTTTGCAGAGTAACAGCACTCAGCAGAGAAAGTGGTCATGGCTGACCTAAGGGAAGTTTGGAGGCATTGGAAATACAGCATCAAATCAACCTACTTTAATCCGATCGAGGACGATGAGGAAGCATTGAAGAAGGTTCCCTCAAGCAGGATCGTGCCCGATCAGTGGCCAAAGTTGGTTGAGTACTGGCGCGACGAAAAGGTGAAGGTATGCAATAGGGACCAACCAAATTAATATACATTATATCTGCACAGGCCTATGGTGAGAACTAAATAATTTGATTCCTACGTAGCTTCAATCCAAGAAAAATGCGTCAAATGTACAGAAAACAAGCTTTCCGCATCGTACTGGGCGAAAGTCCTTCACAACTCTCGCCGAGGAGGTACCTTTCATTATGTTTAAGTAATTAGTCATGCTATGCTCCATCCCTACATTCTTCAAAACATAGTTGCTTGTGTTTTGCAATAACATAAGGCCTTGTGTTGCTGCAGATCAAAGCGAAGGGGAAGGACCCCCGACAATTTGGAGATTTGGATATCCAGTCGGACATAAGGCAAGGGGAAGGACGACCAAGAAACCGAGGAGATTTTAGTATAATAAATTTATTGTACCAATTAAGTGACAATTCAGACATTATGTACCTCTCTGACAATAAAAGCAAGTTCGGCCTCACTTAAATCTTTTCTCGTGGACATATTTACAGAATGAGCTAAACAAGATTCCCCTTGAAGGGCGGACTCCTCTATTCGGGAGACTCTGTACCGACGGGCCCTTGGGGGGAAGATTAAGAAGCGGTCAAAGGTCGATAGTGCGGAAAGTTCAGCCCATCCCCGCAGCGAAGCAACTAGTTTAACAGATAGTGTAGCATTCGAGCAAGGGTGGGAACAAATACAGAATGGACTTGCAGAGTTGAAGGCAATGATGGTTGAGTTCAAAACTATCAAGTCTGATGTGTATGCATTCATGCACAGAAACTCCGGAGCAGTTACTGGCCATGAAGTAAGTATTCATAATATCTGTACATTTCGTATG